CAGGAAAGAGGGGAGAAGCAAGGACAATTAGTTTTCTTTGGGGGAGGTCCCCAAAGTAGGGGACAGTTGACCACCAATGTAGGGGACCAGGTAGCTGATGGGTTTCTAGCAGCCTTTTGACAAATACAGAAGTCTTTACAGCCTTGTCAGTAAACTACTGGTGAGTACATATTTTATATTAAGATTTTTTTTTAATTAGCTCAACTACAGAACAGTAAATTTTAAGTGTAAAGGGTAAAGAAGTCAAGCAATGGAGAGGGCCTTGTCTTATGACATCTTTTCACTCATGCCCCCTTCTTAAAAATGGTATTTCATAGTTACGTTGGCTGAGCTTTTCACACCTTCCTCTTCCTTTACACTATACCTTTCTAAAGTCTTGACAAAGAACTTTTGTTTTATGTGGGTTTTGCAGAGGGGGGCTCCCAAGAGCACACATGTGGTCTTTCATGGGTCAAGGGTCATTCAACTCAGGAGTGGCTGAGAGAGCTGAGTCAAAAGTGACCTTCAACTTAATATCCTGTTGATGATCTTGTTGAATTTATGAGCCTGTGATATAGATGGTGTTACTGAAATTCTGTAAAATTCTGTCTTTGTCCAGGGTATAGAGAGGATGGACTCCATACTTATTTCCTCTGTTTCTTCTCCTAGCCCTTCTCCTTTTTTACTCCTTTTTTAAAATAGTTTTTAAATTTTGAGTATTATTGTGGTTAAGTGCCCCAATAATGTCCAGTCCAATGGATAGTCAGTTTTGTTTGTTTTTAGCTTCTCCAGTTGGGCAGAATATGCCTATGTTATGAGAGACTAAGGTGGGAGTTAAATGTAATGTATTTATGCTTATGCACACATCATACACGAGAACCCACTTGATACCAGTTAGAGACCCACAGACCCAAAGGAACTGCTCAGTAGCTCAGTGCTGGGGTGCTTGGTGAGATTTGTTTTAATTTTTCTTCTTGTAAATACACCATGAATTCTCCATCAAACCTTGATTCTTTCCATTTGGGGGTGGGGAGATAAACTCTCTCCAGGAGCCCTGGGAAGGAGATCCTCCTAAGTCACAAGCTCAGGTTGTGCCCCCTGGAATTTCTGTAAGACTTCAAAAGAATAATTTTGGGGAAACTTACAAAGAAAGAACATGTTTGCCGGGTGGTGATAGTGATGGGTCTGGGGAGTTTGATACTGCCTCAGAAAGGCCCTTTCAAAACCTGTTGAAAAAATGAATTAATTCACACATCACGCATAGCTCAGCCTTTCTTTCTTTCCCTCCCTCTTTTTCCCCTTCCTTCCTTCAGCTTAGGAAGGAGTCTATTTTGGAGGCAATAATTCTAAAAGCCTTTGCAATTTTTTCAGGTTCTTTCCCTCTCACTCTTTCCTCTTCCTTCCTTAAAAAAAAAATTGTCAAGAAGGAAAGGGTTTTTTCGGTTTGCAGAGAAATAAAGCACTTTAGAAAGGGGACAGAGACGTGACTTTGAACTTGGCTCAGCTCTTCTATGTCCTGCAGGGAGAGGAGAACTAGAGCCGGCAAAGAATAGCCAGGAGGGCCCAGCCCGCAGGCTCTCCAGCGGGATTTAAGGCATCCGCCCCACTGCCTGGCCACAGAATCCAGCACGAGTATGCGCCCAGCCGCGCCATCCTGAAATGCGGGCGCAGCAAAGGAGTAATCAAAGCGAAAGGAGAGAATAGGTCAAAAAGGAGAGGGAGGGAGGAGTGGGGAGGGGTGAGAAAGTGGGAAACAAGGAAAACTTGGAAGACTGGGGGCTTGAAAGAAGGAAGTAAGGTCTTTGGATGTGCAGGACTGTTATTCTCACAACCGATTTCTGGGTAAAATGCGGGGGGGGGGGATAATTTTTGGAGCACTCAGCGCCTCTCCAATATACATAGACGAATAAGGTAAACAAGTGTGAAAGACTGAATTAGGCAGCTTAAAAAAAAACGGATTGAAATCTTTCTGCTCAGAGATATTCTCTCTCCCCTACACCCCCCCTCCCCGCTACTTCCGGAACTATCCCACCTCTTCAGTCTTGGGAGCCTGTTTGGCACCTGCCCTTTAGTCGAGAGAGATGGGGTGTGGATGGAGCGATCATTTCCTCCTTCCAGCTTCCAGGAAAGCTCATTTTAAGACCAGAAGCCACAGGAGATAGCGTCTTCTTGTCTTGTCCCCCACTCCACACCAACCACTCCCCAAAGCAGGGAAGGGAGAGTACAGAGGGAGGAGGGTTCAAGGCCCTTATAGAAGAGGCTGTGGTCAGCAAGTACAGTTAAGCCAGACTCTCTTAAGGTGTTAGACGCTGGGTGAGCAGTCAGGAGATCGCAGATTCATCCAGGAATAGTGAGCAAGAGGAATCTTCCCGCGTTTTCGTTGATTTCATTTCAACATAAAATTTCGAAGTGTATGGCTATTCTCTTGCTCGAATTTCATTTCCATTCCCAGAGGTTTGTAAATAAAAGCAGTTCTCAGGCCAGCCAAGCGAAGACCGACTTTGGCCACAGGCCGTCCCTTCACACCTCCCGGCCACGTAGGTCCCTCTCGAGTTACCTCGTGATCGCGATCTCAGGGCTGTGGGACAAGGAATGTGCGAAATAGCCGGCCAGTCTGAGGCCCGGGATGCAGCGGGAAGCGCAGGGCCGAGGGGCTGGCCTGGCGGCACTGGAGGTGTAGCTTTGCGGTGGGCTAACCACGGTAAAGACTCCCAAAAAGAGTGATATTTACCTTCTAGAATGTTTAAACCCTGTAAGTCTGGCAGTTTCTTCTCTCGAGGCCTGATCCACAGTCAAACTCCGGCCTAAACCTTGCTTGATTTCGGGCATTCCACTTCCCAGCCCAATGTGGCAGTGGACACGGCCACAAGGCATCCACCCGGAGGGTGACACAGTCTTTAAATGACATCTAAACAACCCCCTGCCTCGCAGGGGGCCGCTGCCTAGGGTTTACTGCTGTAATCCGAGCAGGACGCGCGCTGCGGGGGGAGCTAAGCGCGCACAGGGGCAGGTGGGGACCATCGTGTGGGGTGGGAGCAGCATCTGTGAGAGCTTCCAGGGACTGGGAAGAAGGGGTCGGTTTGGCTTCATCTATGCCCACTCTTCACCCCGTGTTTTCAATACCTAAAAGCAAGTATATCTCGGTGCGGGCGTGGAGAGTAGGGGTGTGTGCCCACCCGGCAAGAGACCTGTTTCAGGCCTGAAAAGTCACCCCTTTCCCTCAGAGCCTCCTGACTGGTTGCTAGCCAGACCCGGGTCTCCCGAGGTTTCGGTGACGTTGGGAGTTGATAGGATCCCTAGGGGAGTCGGTGGCCTCCATGAAAGGACGTGGGCGATGGGGGCCGTCCGGCTCCTGGCCAGGATCTGGCCGAGGGAAACACGACCTACAGCCTGCCTCTGGGCTCCAGCGATCGCAGGCTCAAGAATTGGAGTCACAGGCCAGAGGCTCAGGCGAAGCGCCGCAGGCTGGCAGGCCCGGCCGGCGGGCACTTTAGTCGGCTGCCGGGGCTGCATGCCGCTCAGGGGGCGTTGGGAAGGCGGGGCGGGCCGGGCGCGGGGCGGGGGCGCGGGATTGACGAGGCCGTAGTGACCAATAGCAGTTCCAGGAGGGCGGGCGGGGCGGGAGCCTCCGTTAAAGGGGCGGTGTGACCGGGAGGCCCGGCCCGGATCCGGAGGGAGGGCTGCCGGGGCGGGAGATTAGGGGACGCGGGGGAGGGGAGAGAAAAAGGGGAGACAAAAAACTTAAAAAAAAAAAAAAGGCTGCTGCTGCGGCACCAGTGCCCACCGAAATAAACAGAGGCGGTGACGAATGCAGCCCACCGCAGCCTGGAGGGGGGACCCCACTGTGGCGTCCTGGCACTTGCTTGGACCGAGGACGACGCTCTGTCCTCGCTGGTTACAGACACCGACTCCCGGGCCAGTCCCCAGGGTCGGTCCGCCAGAGGAAGGAAACGAACGAGAGATCACTTTTTTATTGTTATTGTTTTTCTGCCCAGCCTCCCCCTGCTCCCCTCCCCCTCCTTGCATTCTCCCCTCCCACCGTCCTCTTCCCCCGCTCTTCCCCCGCCTCCTCCTCCAGCACAACTTAAAGAAAGAAGGAGCGTCGCTGCTGTTTCCTTCATCTGGGGAAATTCGTGGCCACTGCAAGTTTACTACTCGAGGCGCAGCCAATGCGAAGCTCAGAGGGCCGGGAAGGCTAAACGCTGCGGCCGCGGAACCGAACAATACCCGCTGCGCGCGGGGCGGCGCGGGCAGGGCCTCGGGGGAGGGAGCGGCCACCCCTGCGCGGGGCGGACGCGGGCTGGCCTCCTCTTGTCTTTCCAGCGCCCCCGCCGCGATCAGGTGGAGCCGCGGGTGCTCCAGGCTCCGGCACTGGGCTCCCAAAACGGAGCTCGCCTGGTCCTCTGCAGGCTTGCCGGCGTAGCCTGCGCACGGCCGCCGCCCTAGGGCACGGTGGCCCTGCGGCCGCGGTGACTGCAGTCTGCCGGCACAGCTGAGCGCCGCCGGGCTCCAAGTCTGCCCGGCGTGCGAGCGAGCGATCGAGTGAGTGCGTGCGCGCGCGGGTGCGGCATCTTCTGCAGGGTTGGGTAACAAACAGCAGCACCAGCACTTCCCCAGAGACTCAAGGAGGTTGGAGGAAGCTGCTTTAACCCTTACACTGCCGCAAGGCACCAGCTCTTCCCTGAGGCTAGCTCTTGCTGCTCACCGCATGGTCTCTGGACTCTTCTCCTCCTCCACCTCTTCCTCCTCCTCCTCCTCCTCCTCCTCCTCCCGAGCCTCCTCCGCCGCCGCCTCCTCCTCTTCCTCTCCGCGCCTTCGCTCCGAGCTCGGCCACCCGAGGCAGATCCAGGCGGCGGCGGAGGCGGGCACAGAAGCGCGGCTCCGGGGACTGAAGCCGCCACCGCCTGCTCCCGGAGCCCGGCTTTCGCCGGACGCACCGTACAGATCGGGAAAGAGAACCGAGGCGGCGCGGAAGCGCGGGGCTCGCCGCGGCCGGCGGGGCGGGCGGGCGGGTGCGCTGACCATGCTTCTGGACGCGGGGCCGCAGTTCCCGGCCATCGGGGTGGGCAGCTTCGCGCGCCACCATCACCATTCGGCCGCGGCGGCTGCGGCTGCGGCCGCCGAGATGCAAGACCGAGAACTGAGCCTGGCTGCGGCGCAAAACGGTTTCGTAGACTCGGCCGCTGCGCACATGGGAGCCTTCAAGCTCAACCCCGGAGCGCACGAACTGTCTCCGGGCCAGAGCTCTGCGTTCACGTCGCAGGGCCCTGGTGCCTATCCCGGCTCCGCTGCCGCTGCCGCCGCCGCCGCGGCTCTCGGGCCCCACGCCGCGCATGTTGGCTCCTACTCCGGGCCTCCCTTTAACTCCACCCGGGACTTCCTGTTCCGCAGCCGCGGCTTCGGGGACTCAGCGCCGGGAGGCGGGCAGCACGGGCTATTCGGACCCGGTGCAGGAGGCCTACACCACGCGCACTCAGACGCTCAGGGCCACCTCCTGTTTCCCGGCCTCCCGGAGCAACACGGGCCGCACGGCTCCCAGAATGTGCTCAACGGTCAGATGCGCCTGGGGCTGCCGGGAGAGGTGTTCGGGCGTTCAGAGCAATACCGCCAAGTGGCCAGCCCGCGGACCGACCCCTATTCGGCGGCGCAACTCCACAACCAGTACGGCCCGATGAATATGAACATGGGTATGAACATGGCAGCCGCTCACCACCATCACCACCACCACCACCCAGGTGCCTTTTTCCGCTACATGCGGCAGCAGTGCATCAAACAGGAGCTCATCTGCAAGTGGATCGATCCCGAGCAGCTGAGCAACCCTAAGAAGAGTTGCAACAAAACTTTCAGCACCATGCACGAGCTGGTGACCCACGTCTCGGTGGAGCATGTCGGCGGCCCGGAGCAGAGCAACCATGTCTGCTTCTGGGAGGAGTGTCCACGTGAAGGCAAGCCCTTCAAGGCCAAATACAAACTGGTCAACCACATCCGCGTGCACACGGGCGAGAAACCCTTCCCCTGTCCGTTCCCGGGCTGTGGCAAAGTCTTCGCGCGCTCCGAGAACCTCAAGATCCACAAAAGGACCCACACAGGTAACCGCGGGTCGGGAATGGGAAGAGGCAAAAGCCGCACAGGCTGAGGGTATGAGTGTGTTTGTGTGTGTGTTTGTGATGGGCGCCAACCACCAGCCGGAGCCCTGGGATGGGAGATGTTTTGTGCAAGAGAGCTAGCAGTTTGTTTTTGTTGGAGAGGGATAGAGTATTATGGGGCTGGGTTTTTTCCATGTGCGGAAACTGAGTTTTAAATGATCAGTGTAACATGAAATGTATGCTTGGAGTGATGCAATTGCTTCTTTTGCTCAGCCCTGGTTGATAATTTCAATTCTAAATAGAGCACGCAAAGTAAAAGTGTTTTCTAACTCGATGCCCGGGAAGCGAGCCTAGCGAAGGTTTTGCCAGCTTGTCTGAATGTGCTTTTCTGCCTGTGTTGGAGTGGCTTGTGTGTTTTCCCGTTTCTTTTACTCAGAGTCCAAACGCCCTCCCCGGGACTGTTTCCCATTAACTGAATCTGATGTGAGCCGAAGCTGTAAAGCGTTTCTCATTTTTAAAGTGTTTTTAAAGCCCAACATGGGGTGGGTCGCGGGGGCTTTACGGTGGTTTCGCAGCAGTTTGTGAAATTCTCTAAGGGGTAGCAGAGGCTTTGCGATTCGAAACTCAACCCGGCCAGCTAGAGCCCCAGGCAGCACCGCCCCGTGGGGCGATCGCGTGAGAAGAGAGTGCCGCAAAACAACGCGCCTCCCGCCTCATAGATTATTCATCTATGACCAAGTCTGAGCCAAAATCGTGCCAGACAATTTCCTAAAAGAAAGCCAAATGTTTTAGCAACTTCCCTCGTCAATATTTACTCCGAAGTGGGGATGAGCCAGCGGCCTATTGTTCTCTTTTGGGAAGGGAGGTAGTCGAGGTGCGAGACAAGCTTTTAACAAGGTTTAAAATTTGAGAAATTTATTTGCATGAAATGCTCGCTTTGGAGTCCTGTGTCTGAGCGGATGTCTTTAAAAAACAATTTAGGTGCTAATGGAATTTAACGATTAAACGGTCCCCTTTCCAAGTGGTTCCACGTTTGAGTTCTCACACCTCTAAATGACTCCAAGCATTTGGAATCCTGGCAACAGGATGCTGGGACCGCCAGAAAATTAAACAGGGAAAATTTGAGGTTTTCCTGACTCCAACCGCCCCCCCCCCAGCTTGTGCTGAGGGCTATGCTCATTAGAAGACTGCTTTATCTCTAACATTTACTTTTTCTCCTCAACTTCCAAAAAGACTGCAACTTGTAAGATTGTGGATAGTTCAACCTGCAGAATTTTGGATGAAAAATACTGGCTCAGTCACTATCCACAGCCGGGTCCCCAAACAACGTAAAGCAACTCCAAACATAATTGCCTACTGGCCCCAAAGAGAAACCAACTGCAGCCCAGCAGCCTGTGTGATTTTGATAATGCCCCAAATATTTTGTCAAAATAACAGCTTCTCTGTGGGTAGACCAACTTGTTAGGAGTTGGGAATCCAAGAAGTCCTGTAGAAAGGCTTACAGGGCCAGGATCTACCCTTCCTCCCCCCCGCGCGCCCAAATCATGAATTTAGGGCGCCAGTCTGGAAGAAAGTAAATTACAAAGTGATGTTAGTTGGAACAGCGCTTCATTTCATCTTGGGTCTTCCGTAGGGGGACCCGAGCTGTTTCGAGGACTCGGCCCCTTCTCACCCTTCTGTCCCTACTCTGTCCTCGGGCAGTCTGGGTGACAGTTTTGGGGTCCTGGGTGTCCATACTAGCGCCCTGTTTGCCGTCCACAGGGGAAAAGCCTTTCCAGTGTGAGTTCGAAGGCTGTGACCGGCGCTTCGCCAACAGCAGCGACCGGAAGAAGCACATGCACGTCCACACCTCAGATAAGCCCTATCTCTGCAAGATGTGCGACAAATCCTACACACACCCCAGTTCGCTTCGGAAGCACATGAAGGTACCACCGCGGTAGCCGGGAGGGCTAGGCCGGGTCCACGCACCAGCTCCGCGCCCGCCTGGGAAGGTTCCCAGGGGACTTGGGATGCTCCTGGGGTGCTCCCCGCTCGGGGGACCCGGCCTCACAGCAGCTGCACTCACACCCAGTCCCCTCTGGTCCCCGCTCCCGGCTTTTGTCTTGCAGGTCCATGAGTCCTCCCCTCAGGGCTCCGAGTCCTCCCCGGCTGCCAGCTCTGGCTATGAGTCGTCCACACCCCCGGGACTGGTGTCCCCCAGCGCTGAGCCCCAGAGCAGCTCCAACCTGTCTCCTGCGGCGGCGGCGGCGGCGGCAGCCGCGGCTGCGGTGTCCGCGGTGCACCGAGGCGGCGGCTCCGGAGGCGGCTCGGGGAGCGGCAGCGGTGGGGGCGGCAGCGGGGCGGGCGGCGGGGGCGGTGGCAGCTCTGGCGGGGGCAGCGGGACAGCCGGAGGCCACAGCGGCCTCTCCTCCAACTTCAATGAATGGTACGTGTGAGGGGCCTGGGGGCCTTTCTCTCTGTCTCTGTCCCCACCTCGCCCTCCCAAAGCGCGTGCTGCCTCTGCTGAGGGCTCCTTATTGATGATCCTGTTGTTAAAATTATGAATCTGATTTTTACGGTGATGAAAAATGATTTTACCAGCAGAAGGGTTTTTTAAAGTTTCGTTTTGTTTTTTTTAAAGAAAACAATCTAGGCATGAAAAGCAAAATAATCTCTCTGGAGTTTCTGAAACTGAAGACAAAATAAATAAAAAGTGTAAAAAAAAAAAGTAAAACATAAAAATATCGAGTCAAACCTCCCTAGCAACCCCCCAAACCCATTTTACTTCCTATACTCTTCCCAGTCTTCTGAGAAACTGTACATAGTGGACTCCTTCCTTCTTTGCCGTGATTTTAATGGCTTCTTGGTGTATAGAAGTTTGTCCATTTGTAAGCTCCGGATTGCGTTCTTTCCTCCCTTCAACCCTGTACCCAAGTGATGGACCCTTTCTTTTCTCTTTAGTTTACCCAGTTTATTTTTTACGTAATGTGGAAGAAAATGGTTTATTTTGTATTGTGGTATTGAATATTGTGTTCCTTTTTATGAGGCAACTTGATTGTAAACTTCATGCAACTATAGACTGGAAAAAAAAAATGAGCCGTGCCAAAGTCTCCCTTCTGTTTCTTCAACACATCGACCCATACATAGCACACACATATCACCACCACCACCAACGCTTGTGAATGTATTTTTCTGTTAGCTGAGTTTACATGTGATGTTTTAGTGCTTTTGCAAGTTCAGTTTGTTAGTTCCTGTATGAAAGATTGTGGGGGAAAAATAAACGTGCCGTTAGCTTTTTCCGTAATAACACCCTTCTGTAAATACCCGTTACCATATTTATCCATTTGTAATTAAATTATGGTATTAACTTGCTACAGAGGAAACAATATTTATAAAGAATGTTTCTTAACTATAAATATGTACAATTGTGGGCATAAACTGTTTCAGATTTTTTATTTGAAGGTTTTAAGTGGTTTGATCATTTCTTGTGATATGTTTTGAGAGTAATGCATACAGAAATATAATAAAATGTGTTGAAACTGCATGAACATACTATTTTTTTCTAGCAAAGTTATTAAAGAGAATGGGCAGGAGGCAGTTTGAGGGATAAGATGGGTATGGATCAGGGTGTGTGGGAAGCATCACCTTGCATTCTGAAGAGGAACTGTGTATTTATGCACAGAAACAGGGCCAAACTGCCCCTTTGGCAGAAAGTCTCAAAATTATTTTCTCTATCCCTTTGTCTGGTAGCTGAGAATGAATTAAATTTTTGGAAAGACCCGGTGAGGAGTGGAGGCAGGAACCTTCAGAGTGTCTAATGGCCCCATTATCTAAGGGAATGCCTTTCTTTCTTTCAGCTATTTGGGCTGGATTTAAGAGCACTAAACATTTCCTTATTCTTTGTTTTCCTTCCCTACCCTGCCCCCTTCCTCTCCCTCCCTCTGAAAAGCTGAGGTACAGTTATTTTTAATTGCACATTTAAAACTGAGCTGAGTACTTTGTTTTTGAACTTGGCCCAGTGATTATAGTTTAAAGGGGCTTATTTCTACCAGAAGTTTTTTCTTGATATTTTAAGCAGAGTCTGCTCAGAAATCCTGCTTATCTTAAGCAGCTCTGCACCAATAATTGGGGTGGGGTGTTCAAAAGAAAGTAATCAATAGAATACATTTTGATTTTTTTTTTTTTTTGAGAACATCATAAATAGGGAAGTGACTGTTCTTTGGTTCCAAAGGGAACAGAGCCACTCCATGAACCCAGTAAAATGAAGTGGGATAAAATATAAAGACTAATATTGTGAGGTGGAAGCAAGTGAGCTGTAAGACCAGTCACCATGCTCCCCTCCCCCCACAGGAGTTGATATGAGTTTCTAAACAAGATGCTGTAAAGAAAGAAAGCAAAAATAATTTTAGTGATCAAAAGGTAGGAATGGGGGAAAATGTTTTTCAATTCCTTAAATATCAAGACCACTCCCTCCACTGGGTGTCCTTATAGCTCAGAGAGGACCCGGGTGATGGTGGACCTGCTTCCTTAGCAAAGAAAAGATCCGGGTGGTGGCGACGGCTGCCTAAGGGACGCTTCCACAGGATGGACCAACACCATAGGCGGACAGCCAAGGGAGACCGTGGTGGCTTCTACTTTCTCCTCGCCCTGGGCAGAGTCACAGGGCCAGGCAGGGCAGCCCCGAGGGGCGTTTGTAGAGAGGACGGCGCTGACCTCCCGCAGGCCACACTACCTGTTCAATGGCCAGCAAATCACTCCATCCAGCCTGACGCGTGTGTGCGCCGGTGTGTGAGGCTCACAGGGTGATAAACGCCAGGCTCGCCCTCCCCAGCGGCCCTGTGAGCTGCCTAAGCGCCAACTCCTGAAGCAATCAACCCTCTATTAAAATCAAATTTATAACCCCTAATAATATTAAGCAAAATTATTAAAATAATTGGCATATGTTACTGATCCTTGGGAGAGTTCATTGAACACATTATAAGCTGCGAGGAAAATCGTTTAGGGTTTTGCAAAGGCCTTCACCCCTGGGGGAGTAGGCAAAGGAGTCAGATTAAATATTCATCATCACTTGGACAAGAGGGAAGCCATTTATTCCAAACGTTTTCAACATTTTCATTTTGAAAATAGAAAATGTTGGTTTTTGAGACACTCCAAATCTAAGGAGGACTAAAAGGTGGGGGGCAACTTTGCCATCAACTCAAGGCCTTGGGGCCTTCTTGCTTGAGGAAAGAAGGGGCAAAATGGAAAACATCACAGGACTGAGGTAGTTTTGTTGCTTTCTAAATCTGTAGGAGAGTTCCCTTTGAGTCTAAGACTGATCTTAGTTTTCACCAGGAGAATATTATGTGAAAGGGCAAGGCAGGAAGATTACCGGCTGAAAGTGGTTTCCCAGCACACCCTAGGATGGACCCGCCCGTGGGAGCAGCTTTCCAGTAAAATGGCTCCCAGTCCTCGGCCCTTGCATCCCTGGGCTTTGTCCAAACAAGTCACCGACGGCGTGGCCCAGTTTCCCTTTCTGGGCTTTCTCGTCCACCCTTCGAATCTCACTCAGGAACTAAATGAAGAGAGAGGGACCTGTGAAGAGTACCGAAGGTGCCAGAATTTCTCCACTTAGAGCAGGCGCAGCAGTCTAGCACCTGGGCCCGAGCCCGGGTGGGGGAAGACTGGGGGTGCCAGAGCTCCACTTCCCTCACCCTCACCCCAATTCTAAACAGACCTGAACGCTAGCCTGCCCTTGCCTTGACTTCAGAGCCACTCAGCCGAAGCTGGCTTCGTCTCCAGGGCCCCAAGAGCTGTGCAGTGAATTGCTGCAGGGCCGGGAGGACCGTTTCTGCCGGCCACCGCCATCAACTTGAACTCCAACGCCGAAGCTCAGTCCACCAGTGAATAACTCCCCTCAACATGAGATTCGCTTTATCCGCAGGCAGCTGGAGCTCCCTCGGGCGGCCCATCATTATTATTATTAATTATCGTGATCCTCCCTGCATTATTAATGACCACAATAACTGGCCTGGATATCAGCTTCTCCCAATTCAGTGATGTCCTCCCAAGTCCCCGGCTGGGAGGAGGTTATTCCCAGTGCAGAGGCCGCTTCAGTTCTGCTCTGAGCGTGAGCAAGGGATATTGTTAAAGCCGGGCCCTGCGGGATGCGAGCAAAGGAAACGTGTCCCTGGCGCCCGCACACCCATCCCGACGCTGTCCAGGGCCCCTTTCCTCTCTGCCGGCACCTTCGCTCTTCCTCCACCCCACCCCCTATCCCCTTTGTCTCTTTTTCAGACGGATGTTTTCAGTCTCAAGTGGTTTTATCTTCCGCACAAAACCCTGAGATCAAGGGCAGATCACAGGCTGGACCAGGGCCTGGGGTTTCCCTGGATTCTGTACTATTTTCCTTCCCAGTGTTGGCTAGGAAGGCCTGGGTGCTCAAAAGTGATGGGTCGCTTGTCTGGGTTGGCAGTACTAAGGGAAGTGTGTCCCATTGGGTCCCTGGTGAGTTCACTGATAACACAAGAGACAGGAGACTTGCGGAGATTTCCCAAGTATCCACGAGGAACTCAGGTCCTGCCCTCCTCCAACTTATGCCACGGAAGGCAATTCAGGGGACACTAGGACCGCTTTCAAAGTTTAAGAAATAAAGGCCTCAATAACTCTCCATCAAGAATTGATTTAACTTTAGATGATTTTTTTCATTAATTTTTTAAAAATTGAAATAGACACGTGCCTGGAAAGCGAAGATCCAAAGAAGGGATTCAATAAATACTTGTGAATTGATTATAGTCTGACACCCCTTTTGGGGCCACACACAGAAATGCTGAGTTCCAAGGCCTACTGCTCCCCCAGCAGCAGAACTGTCTCTAATTTTAACTGACTACCTTGAACTAAGGCAGAAGTCACCCTCCTTCCCTCCTCTCTTCAAATCTCCCCTCCCGCAGCTGACTGTTGTGAGTTTTTATTTTAGAGGAAAAAATCTAAATCTTTCCAGACTATATCTAATGATCAAGAAACGCCAACCTCAAGCCTATCTAGTTGGGTGCCTGAGGAGGAAAAAGCGAAGGGCGGGGCTGGGGGTTACAAATAAGACCTCCCCAAAGCCATAATTAGGGCAGCCCGAGTTCATGGTCAAGGCTGTGGGGTGACTGAGGCCAGAAGGTTCACCCCCCGCCTGGCCCCTGGATCATCACTGTCCAGATCTCTCTGGAGGGGAACTCCCGGTCAGGCCCACAGCTGCCCCGCCCCTACAAGGTGCAACATGGGAACCGTGGGTGCTGGGGCTACCTTGTGTCCCTCCCAAACCCCGTTTTCCTTTTGTTCTCAGGGCCGAGGAGTTTTTTTGAAGAGGAGACATTTGGCCTTGCCTTCTGCTTTACACCCTGTTCGGGTCCAGCATCACTCTAGCCCCACCTGGCTCAAGAGAGCCACCAGGCAAAGTGTGCAGAAGTCCCTGCACTTAGTATACCGTGCACCCCACGTAGACACAGCACAGGCACTCGACATCCCAACACACACCATCCACTTCCAAACGCTCACCTCCTGTGGCTTAGTCTGGGGCTTCAGAGATGCGAGTGGATGGCAGGAGCACTAGAAAGTGGTGTTCCTCGAATCCCATCTCGTCACCCCTTTCTATCATCGCTAGTAGGGGGCCAGGCCTGCCCTACATTCACCTAACGTGGTTTTGGAGAGTTCACTGTCTGGCCTTACTGGTGAGGCCCGCATCTTTGGGGTAGGGGAGGGGCTACCTGTAGTGGACGTTCCCAGGTCCATTTAGTGGAACTGTGATGGGCCACAGTGCCCTGCCCACCAGCTGGGCCTTCCATTCCCCTGGTGTGTATTTGAGGGGAGGTACCCCTGTCTCTACTAATCCTGGAGTAAGAAAAGGGCTTAGTACCCCACTCCCTAGTCCTTGCCTCAATACCACTCCTCCACAATCCACACATCCAAGATTTTCTTATTCGCAGAGGCTAAGCCAGAGGCCTTGGGGAGGGGAGCGCAGCTAGAGAAGGGAGGTAGAAATAACGTTAATAACCTCAGATAAACGTCGTGGTTAAGGCTCCACGACTGGGCTGCTTCTCCAAGACTGGCAGGGGCCTGGGGACACTCCTGACAGGGTACAACTGCAAGTGGGCATCGAGTGGGAGCAAGGGGCTCTTATTGATGCTCCCCCCCGCCCCCCGTAAAAATCCAAAACCTGCTGCTGAACCAGCAAAGCAAGCCTGGGAGCTGTGAGGGAGCTTCCTGCCACCGATAGCGCAGGTTGTTTTTTCTTTTTTCTCCTGGACCACTGGGCCCATAGAGGTTACTGCGGCCGAGTATAGTTTCCAGAAATCCTTTGGAGTCGGCTGGCTCTATGTGCCCACTGCCTCCAG